TCGTTCCCCCCCTCCCCCCTCCCGATATAAGTATTGCTGCTCTGGCTTTCCTTTCACATCCATGTACATGTACATGAGAAACGCTTCTTCATCCTCTCCCTTTCATCTGCAGGTGTCACTCTAAGTCTGAAATGCACCTCTTGTAGGCAGCACACATATGGGTGTTGTTTTTTTAATCCATTCTATCACCCTCTATCTTTTGATTGGAGCATTTGGTCCACTTACATTCAGAGTAATTGTTGATATATGTGTACTTGTTGCCATTTGTTACTTGTTTACTGGGTTGTGTAGTGCTTCTGTGTTCTTTTTCCCTTGTTCTCTCCTCTCATGATCAGCTGGCTGGCTGTGGTGATAGACTTGGGTTCCTTTCTTTTTATTGTTTGCATATCTATGGCTGGTGGATTTGTGGTTACCACCGGTTGATATAGAACATCTTCTGCAGGTAGCCGTCTGTATTAAGCTGATGGTTGCCTAAGTTGAACCCTTTCTTTACTCCTCTCCCCTCCATATTTTAGGGATATGATGTCACACTTTACATCCTTTTATTTATTATATCCTTTGACTGATTTCTACTTATTAGACTTATTTCTACTGCTTTTGTGTTTCCTACATTTCATACTCTCATCACTTATGGTCTTTCATTTCCACTCTAAATGTGGAATAGCCCCTACAGGTCCTTTCTTCCTAGAGGAATCCCCCAAGATCTCGGTCTCTCCAGGACACTCTCAGAGCTGAGTGAACAGCTCACCTGCTGTATGCCCCAGACGGTCTTCAGACTGCTGCTTCTGTGCTTCATCTTCCCAGGCTGTTCTTTGTGTTGTCTCTTTAATGGTAGGGATTCAGTTTCCTCTCACCCTCTCAGCTGTCTTAAAGTTGAGCCTGCTGATTTTTAAAATCCAGGTTTTAAGTCCTGTTGATTGTAAGAACTCACAGAATTCAGCCCCTTTGGTTTTCAAAGCCAAATGTTATGGGGATTCATCTTCCCCTGCAGGTTCCCCAGCATGATAGTCTGATTCTCTCCCTTCTCTGTTTTGGCAGGCTCCTCCCTCTCATGGACAGCTCCACAGAACCTAGTGTTCTCATCTGGAGGTTTCATTTAGCTCCCCACCGTGGCTCTGCACTTCCTTCCCTCTCTGGTATGGCTTCCTCTCCCATTTCCTTGTGGAGTTTGTTCTGCCAGTCGTCAGGCCATTTTCTGGGTTATTTACACTAATGTGTTATCTAGTTGTACCTGTGATATGAGGCAAGCTTTGGGTCCTCTTGCTATGCCATCTTCCCATAATTTCTTCACATATATGGAATTTGGAGCTTGGTTGGAACTTAACCTCTCTAGTTAATCACATTTTGGCATTCCCAGATTTTTATTCATAGGTGAATTATAGAACCAGTCTATAGCAAAGAAGGTAGTAATCTGTTCTAAATCTCATTTAAATATAATTTTTACTTAATAAACTAGGGTCCTCTTTTTGGATAACTGGAAATGTGTTCCCTGAAAAACAGTTAACTCATGTTAGCACTTGTCTTCCTGATACATATGTCTAACTTCATGTTCCAAAGCAATGGGTTTCTCTTTCATAGAGGGTATGCACTTGCACTGGGGAGAACTAATCATTGGGTAACGGGACTGCCTTGGGGCAGGGGAGTTCTCACTGGAGGTAACCAAGCTGTGGCTAAGGGCCAGCTAGTGGCATAGCTGTAGATGAGGTCCCTTTCTGTGGGAGAGGAAACGTAATGTGTGTGGTTGTATACACTGATGCATGAACCTTGTACGTTACACTGCCAAAATGGTACAAGTGTGAAAATGACAGGGAAATCTTTACTGTAAATCAGAGATTCCCAAACATTCTTAGTTCATGATGTTTAGTGTCTAGTGTCTTAGTAATTTTTTCATAGGATTACTAAACCCGAAGTTTCTTTTGTTACACTGTAGTTCTATATTACCTAACAAGTTGTTTATGAAGTAGCTAGGTCTGTTTTGCCGATGTCACTGTGTTTTCCTTGAAAACTTAAAATATTCAGAGGTTCTGTGATACCTAGGACACCTTACCTCACGGCTTGGGAATCGCCGCTTTAAGCAAAAAATGTAAATCAAGTTGTATGTCCTATGTGATTATAGCTATTCACATTTGTGTACATGTAGACACAGACTGGGAGGAAACAAAAAGTAGTTCTGTTTGGCTTACAGATGATTTTAAAATACTTAAACCCTTTTATATCATGTTTCCCTTCTAATTTATTTTCTGATTCTTGGTCTCTGGTGCTTTAAAGCCTTGTTCTTCATTCCTTTCTGTAGGAGAAAGCTGTACAAATAACCAAAAGCTTCTTTTAAGCTCTGGGGCAGTAATAATTTGGGGAATTTTGCTGCTAAGGAAACTTTTTGTAATTGAAATGAACTCTGTGTTCTCTTTTAGGACCATAGAGTGTTTTGGCTGATTACAGGAATTATGTTTATGGGAAGTGGCCTCATCTGGAGGCGTTTGCTGTCATTCCTGGGACGACAACTAGAAGCTCCTTTGCCTCCCGTGGTATGGAGGGTGTGGTTTGCAGCAGCATTGCTGAGGGACGACATCCAGGTTCTGAAGGCACACTGCCTAGGCTTGCATTGTCAGCTTTGTGACCCTGAGCAAGTTCTTGAATTGCTCTAAGCCTACCTCAGGTTCCCCATCTGTCAGTTAAGTCAGAAGCACTTGTTTCATCGTGTTAGCAGGAGAATTACGTAGGAGCTGTGAAGCGCAGTGCCTGGCACATACACAGGACAGTCTTCGGTGCAGAATACCTAGCTCTTCTTTGAGCATTCTGCGTTTACACGGATACTGGCAGTTCTGCTGCAGGCCTTGTCATGACCCAGACTGAAGTGTGGAGAACCTAGTGTTCTCATTAAGAAAATATGTCAAGTTGATCCTTTTTCTTACCTTTCTACTTGTAATTTACAGCAGGAATGAATACTTAGGATATGGATTCAGGGCTTGTAGTCCTCCCCTCATCTGGTAGTGAGTGTCCTCTCATTTTACTAGTGGCGTTTCTTTTAAGACACAAACTAAAATGGTTAATTTTCATGCTTTATTTAGATGGCTTCTTTACCCAAAAAGTCCCTTCAGACAGACAGAAGGATGGAAATGAAGCACAGCATCAGGCCGGATGGACTCGGATCAGGAAGGAGTGTCCTAACAAACCGTTAACGACATCAACCCTGTAGAGACTGGGTTCTTTTTCATGGTAGTCATGGGAAACTTCTGGTACTCTTTCATTATTTTCTTTTATAGAAACAGGACTTGAAAAAAATCACTTAAATTATAATGTCTGGTGATGAAGATCTCCTGGCACTCACAATGCTAGAACATAAGTGCATTTTCAAAATTGAGTAAGGAAGCAAAGTACATGTTCTCTAAAAAGCCAAAATTCTGTTTCCCACAACCTTAAAATGCTGCTTTCATACATATGATGTGAGAGTAGATGTTGTATAGATTTCCTGATGTACACATATCAAGAAATGTGTGGTTTTCCTGCCAAGCGAAGCCTGAAAACTTGACAGGCTCACAGTGACATCAGGCAGCAGGAGTTCTTAGTAAGGGGATCATGTTCTTGGGACCTTCCTGACTCTCAGGAGCCTGGAAAGGTAGGAAAATACATACTAACCTTAAACTCTGAAAGTTGTGCTTTAAATCCATCTTTAACATACTTTATATTATTGTATTTGTCCCCCTTTCATATAAGGGAGATAACAAGGAAGTGATTTAATATCAGCTTAAATAGATTCCATTTAATTAAGATTTTTGCTTCCACATAAAACTATTTTTCTTTGCTTGGCTATAATGGAAGCCTTTGGAAGTAATGTTGAAAGAAACTGTTTCTATTCTGTTACTGTCTTCTAGCTCTGTGGTCATTCCCTGATTTAGAGTAGATAGAGGTGTCCCTCAACCACCCCTCACCCACCAAAGAAGGTATATGTAGCCCAGTTAATCTATATGATACCTTAGAGCTTGACAGATGGGCCTCCTGACACCAGAAAGTAGATAAACTTCAGAGTGTCCAGAGCAGCTCTTAAACTATAGTATAATAGTAGTAAAACAGTAGATGTGTTGATAATGTTGGGGTTACCTAATACTACAACCAGGATGTCATGAAGAAGTTGAGTCCATTTACTGAGTGGTTTGATGATGGGAATAAAACTGCTATTCCAGTAGCTGATTATAGAAAGAAAACAGATGGAGTTGTAAGTGGTTTTCCTCACTCCTGTGTGTGCTTATAAGAAGCCACTAGAAGCTGGCAGATGCAAAGGCACCAGCTGGGTTGGTCTCAGCACTGAGTGGCCCACCTGGCACCTCCCTGTGGGTCAGGGGCACCTGTAGTGTGGGTGTTGGACTTGGATGTACATAACACTCTAGCATCATGAATGTGTGTGATGATTTTCATAATCCTTGGGACACTCTTGGTCGCACCTCAGCACTGCTGCTGTTTTTGATCTTAGGATCTTATTCATCACTGTACATAGGTTATAAGTATTAGCTGTGACAGGGAAGAACTGAAAGCCCAGTTGAGACACAGAATAGAGTTTTGGCCTTTTTCCTTTTGGTGTGACTTAGTTTGTGGACTTGGGTAAAAATTTTTTTTTCAGGAGTCATGTCTCTTTAATAAAGGGAAAAGCAACTACCTCTTAAGTCTGATGAAGAGTAAGTTACTGATGGTTTATAAAGTTCTTGAAGGTAGTTAGATCAAGTAGGATTTCAAAATGTCAAATGTCAACTAGCTCTGGTTTGCTGACGGCAGGATGCTTCTTGTATTAAATAAGAAGTGAATCATTTTAATTCCAAATTTAAAATCACTTGAAGCACAAGTGTTTGGTTATGTAAATGAGCAAGCAGTCTTACCTCCGTTTAACAAGGTCAAGGAATGATACTGTTAATGGACTGTTTTTGGAACCCTCTAAGGAAATGGAGAAGATAGCATCTGAAAGTGACGTTTACTAAATACTTTATTCTTGATAAACAGATTGAGAAATCTCAGGAGTTGTATACAGCTTTATTTTTGAAGTCACAATATTTAACACACTTTAATCTCAGGATTGAGTTTCATTACTTTAGTGTAATACCTGTGGTGGTGGTCTACTGTATGGTGAGTGGATGGGGCATAGGGCTGGGGTTCAAAGGCATAGAAACACTCCTGTCTTGCAGCAAGTTGTTACATATGCAGGTAATATAAAAACAAATCACACATATGTAGTTGTGTTTTGATATCTTGAAATAAAGGTAATGGAGTTATTAAATAGTTCAGATTTGTGTTAATGAGAGATTAAAACTCTACAAGGTATTTCCATTGTTGTTAAGCATTTTAGAATCCATGCTCAGAACTACAGTTAATACTTAGTGTAGTGAAAATTTAATCCACCTATTGGGATGATGCGTTAGCATCTGTATCCTAGGTTTGTACATCTTTGCCATCCAGGTTGACCTTGAACACTTGATGGTTAAATATCCTGTATGAAATCTGATCTGGTATGTTTAGGCATTGAGGAAAATATGAATCCTTAGGTAGATGGTAATCATGTTTCAAACAGGCCCTGTCCATTAGGGAAGCATAGACACTTTCTATAGCAATGGCAGTATGAAAGAATGCAGACTTCAATTCGTAAGTGAATACAGTTAACTAATAGTATTTCATGTAAGTTGAGCTACCCATAATCATTACCCAAATGAAGCTAAATGGTGTGTCTGTGCTTTTTGCTGTGCCCAAGGGAACCATGCAGTTAGCATACCTCTTTAGGAAAGATGACAGTCCCAGAAGTCATACAGAGGTGCCATCTAGATACATGCCTATTTTTCCCCTTTATATACTCACCTTATGCTCACGATTTTAACTCTAGTAGCTTTCCCTTGATTTCTAATTTAACTTTACTCCTCAGCTGACTTCCTGTCTTCTTTGAACGAGTCTCCACTGCCTCTACAGAAACTAAAAAGGGTTCTTGTCATCAGTTTTCCCTGCTTTTTTTAGTACCCTTTTTGCTAGTGCCAGGAGAAAAAGGCTCTTCCCTGATTGCTGCAGAATTAGTAATAATGCCTTCACATGTTTCATGAAGCTAAAAGCCTCTGATAGGTTCCTTTCCCTCAAATGTGCCCTCCTGCAGGATAGGCAGTGAAATCTACAAAAACCAGCCCAGGAACAAAGACAGGTATGGCTTGCTTCACCCCTTCTGGTCCCTTGCAGTGGCCTTGGGCCAGGTCTCTTCTTCATTAGTTTTGTTGGCAGGGCTTGTATCAACCCAATGCAACAATGGCTTCCCTTGGGAGGACTCTCCCCTGGAGAGTCCTAGGTTCAACTGTTAGAACAGCTGCTTCTACAAAAGCCTTTGAGGGAACGAGGTGAGGTTTTAGTTTTGTATTTGTCCTTCACTATATAAATGCACTAGTCCTTCTAAGAAAGGACCAACCCGCTTACAGCAGATGAACCACCGTACTTGCCACTGCTATTTCTCTGCTCATTTTTTCCTTGTAAACTATGCTTTCTAGTTCACTTTGATTGGTTGGGTCACCATTTTTAAAAGGACATTTATTTTAGGAGAAATGGTGACAGAGGTTTTCCTAAAAGAACCACAGAGCCTTTCCAAGCATCAGAAAGACCCAGGTATTCATGTGGAAGAGGAAAGAGGTTGTACAACAGGTCCAAGCACAGGCAGCAAGTTGGGAATAAGCTTAAATACAAGGGAAGCAAGGAAGGAGGGACTGTATCATGTTCCCAGGGAGGCATGCATCCTCTTGCAGGATCTCCCAGGGCTCCCCTGATGTCCCGCTTCGTCCACCAGAATGCTCACCCTGGAGCTGACCTGGCACGAGGGAGGGCACGCAGGGTAGGAAAACACGGTGAAGTCTTTAATCAAGGCCCAGGCTGTAGACGTGCAGGGCCCCAGAGAGCCGGGATCCCAGAGAACTCCTCACGGCAGCAGCGACAACCTGATTCTGTAGAGGAGACACAACAGTGTTGACGCCTTTTCAGCTCCTGCTATTGTCCAGGTATCAATGCTGGGCTCTGATGACACACGGAAACGTTGTTTAGATGCCACATTCTCAAATCTGTGAGTTCAGAAACCGTAACCAAGCACATTCACTCCAGTCCCTTCACTGGAGCATAAAGAATAAAGGAAAATACATCCCTGCTGCTTCAAAGAGTTTACGAGTGGTCTTTCAGAATCATCTTCAAAGCCTGCAGCATGTTGGTAACATTTTCACTGGAGGCATATCTACACACTTTGAGCTTGGATTTCATATCCTAAACCAAGGCTGGTCCGTGTCTAACTGACCAATGGCTGTTTTGCTCAGAGCAGGGCGTGACCATGAAACCACTGAACCTCCTGGGAAAAGTTCTCACAGATTTCATTTTGAAAGCTACAAATGGAATCTAGGAATTTTTTTTTTTTGAATCCAGGATTAATGAGACTTCACCCTGTGCCCTTTTACCATACTGCCCTTTGTATCTTTTTTACACACCCCAGTGTCAAAAGGAAAAATAAAAAACTCGCCTCTTTTATTTATGGAATTAGTACTTGTTTATAGATTTGCCCACAGTTTAGCTGTGAGCTGGGTCTCCTCTCCATTTCAGACCTTCCCTTCCTGCCCTCTGGTCAGCTTCCCGATCCCCATGGCTTGCCTCCCTCTTCTCCACCAGCACAGGCTTCCACTGCCCTTGCCATCTGACTGCTTTTGGCTCTTGGTCATCGGACACTGACCTGGATGTTCCTGGGGCCAGGGCACAGGCCTCAGTGTAACACTGCTTGGCTGGGGCCCGCGAGCTCAGGAAGGCAGCCCCACGGAGGGTTTCAGAGAGGCACACTATGGTAGCACAGCGCAGGTGCGGGCCACGTCCTAATTCTAGCTTGTTGCTAACAATGTCATTACTTAAGGCTCAGTAAGAGGTCATGCTGATCACCCTCAGACTGTCCATTTCTAAATATAACTGAACTTGGTGCTTTGGTGCCCCAATCCCAGGTAGTGTTGTAAAGGTGAAATAATTTGAGTGTTCACCCCAGTGAACTATAATTACGAAGGTGAACTTGCAGTGTTGTACAGAAAAGAATCAACTATAAATTACTTTTAGATGATCTGTAGCACTCGGTGTAATAAGTTGATAGATGCATAATTTTTGTATAATTTATGGGTTCTTGATGTCTAACTTTTAGAAAATGAATTTTAAGTGTAAGCCAAGCTTAGGATGTATTCTGTAACCAGCCCCTTTGAGAATCCTCCCATAAACTTAATCCTTTTTTGGTTTTGGATAACCCTAAATTTTTGCTTATCAATTCAAGCAAGGGCCACTTAAGCTGTTGGCCACCAGAGGGCAGCTTCACCCAATTCCCAGAAGCTGGAGCCAGGTCCACCCCAGTTACTTCTGTTCAGGCTACTCTTTAGCCCTTAGTCCTGATTTGCATTTTATTTTACTTCCCATAAATAAATGAAATTGTGTTTTTCCTCAAAGGCAGGGACTTTGTCTCCAAGCTCACAGTGTTCTGTGCAATAATACACCCTAAAGGAAACGAATGGATGGATTCAGTGGTTTAGATGAATATTTGAAGATAAAACCCTTTAACTGCTATATCCATTAAAATCCAAAATATGCATACCCTTTGATTTAGCAGTGTTCTAAGAATATTATTAGCAGGGGTATTTGCACAATTATATAAAAATAATAGCTGTGCAAGAACACTCACAATAGTAAGAACATTGGAAATCACTGAGTAAATGTCCATGAGAAAGTGAACCAAATAAAATATGATGCATCTAGACAGTACTCTGCAGTCATTAAAAAGAAGCAAAGAGCTCCACCTGTATTCGAGAAGAGGCACAATATACTATAGTGTGTGAACATAGTGACCAGAAAAAGAATATGTGCATGCAGGTTTGTTTGTCACTGGAGTCCTACAGAAACCCCAGGAGTCTGGAAGAAAATATTAACAGTATTTATGTTGCGAAGTTCCTCTGAAGGGCCCAGATCACACTTCATGGGACGGCAGTCTCTGAGGCTGCTCGTCAGCCGCCGCCACAAGGACATTGGTGGGCCTGGCTGTGGTCTTAGGAAACTAGGACACTAGTTTCAGGCCACTGAAATTCAAACTTCATAGACATTTCATGGGTCGTGTAATATCCTTTTTTTCCAACCATTTAAACTGGAATCATTTTTTGTTCACAGGCTGTATAAAACTCGAGCTGGCTCACGGGCTGTGATATGCCAGTCCCTTCCCTTAGGGATGAAATTGGGAAAGCAATGGGACTGTGAGTGGCGGTTTCTTTTTTGTGTTCCTCTTTTTCCCATAAATTGGAGCCATAAAATGAGATCAGCCCCACCCACAGCCTTAGCATATAAAGGTCAGGAATGCAGTCTTTGCTCACCTTGTCTTTCGACCTCACGGTGATCACAGAGCTCCCAAATCTTGAACTTGCCTGTAAAACAGTGTCTGTCAATGGTCTTTGGAAAACATACCAGATGTTACCAGTTTAAAATAAGAGAAACGGCACTTCTGTGGTTTTTCTTTCTTCATTCCTTCAGGAGGTACTTACCTCAGGAGAAACCAGTACATACTGGGCCTAAAAGGAAAGGGTGAGAGGGGGACTGGTTACTGTGTGTTGGGGGGTTAAACCAGGCATCTGACAGCCCATGCACACATCTCTACAGGCTAGAGGAGCCCTGAATGTGTGTGTGCCTTTGACCCCAGAAATTCCGCTTACAGGGAAATCGATGCACTCACTTCAGCGCTTAATAAACTGTGGCTTGTCCACAGATGAAATAGGCAGCCAGGAGAGGTGCTGTAGAGGGAGGGATAGAAGCAAGCACAGACAGGTAATTGTCTTACCTGTATAGGCAAGTAAGATAATCATGTGACAGATGTGTGTACAATATGCTCACAGTTGTGAATATAGCCACACAGTGTCATGATGGAGAGTGTGCTATAGAATCCTGGAATCCGCTCTTGCTGTGGGTTCCTGACCTTTGACCTCCAAGCACTGTGCCTTGGAGCACTGTCCTCCCAGTGTCTCCAGCTGGCTTGGTGCCAAGTTACTAGCTTTGATGGGGGTTCCAGAAGGGGAGGAGTGAGAGCTCTGTCCAGTGCTAGCACCATGCTAGGCACAGAGTATATGCACAGTAAGTCGTAGCCCTTAAGGTATTAGAAAAAAATACCAGAAGTATATACATCAAAAGGTATATTTCTGCAGAGTGCAATTCTAGGCAGAAGATTTTTGAATTTTTTTAAAAATGTTTTTGCACCGTGTATTTTCTACAACTTTTACAATAAACTTTAATTTGGCAATTAAATCTTTTCTAAAAATAAAAATTGGTTGAGAGAGCGAGCATAAGCATGGGGCGTAGGAGAGGGAGAGGGAGAAGCAGGCTTCCTGCTGAGCAGGAAGCCGGATGCAGGGCTCGACCCCAGGACCATGACCTGAGCCAAAAGCAGATGCTTTTGGAGTCACTCAAGTGCCTATCAAATTTTTTAAAATGATGGGCATTTTATGTCCAGGGAACTTAAGGAAACCCACCTGAGAAAACGAATAAAAGCAGTGAAATAGGAAATAAAAAAGGGAGTGTTTTAAAGAAATTGCAGTGGTCATGGCCTGTTTTTTTTTCTGCTGTGGACTCCTGACCAGGCAGTGGCAGGCTGTGACCAGAACCAGTGTAACACCACGTCCAACTAGACGTTAGCTACAGGAGTAAACAGTACAGGCCTGCAAGAATGCACGGCCACTTGTGCCTACAAAAACGGGCACATGATTGTGTCCTGAGTGCAAGACCATTCAGTTAAAAACTCTAAGTTCTTTTACCAAGGGATCAGCAGGTGAACTCATTTCCCAACATGGCACAGAATTTTGTATGGGAGCATGTTACCTTTTCTTCAGGACATGGAGCTGTCCATGATTTGCATTTGCCTGTCATGTCACCAAAGGTGATATGTTTGCCATTATAAACATAAACACGACCATCTTCTCCCCCCATCAGTCCAGAGGTGACATCTGTTATTCTCAGTGGGGCTGCCACAATGATTTCATCTGCAAACAATAGAAGTCAGAAGGAAGTCTCACTGTTCACTGTCAGCCTTTCCATTGTGCACTCTGGATCCTCACCCAGCCTGTCACAAGTCAGGTTAGTGCATCCTTCAAATAGACTGCCCTGATTTCATCCCCACATAGGAAAGGCTTTGTTTCCTAGTTTATTCTTCCAACCACGTATGTGGGTGGCTCTGGTGTTACCACCTTCAGGATGTATAGCTCACTCTTGGCTCTGGTCTTACCTGACTTAAAATAGATCTAAAGGCCCTGGGATCACTGAGCTGCCAATTATGAGGGCAGAGCCTAGATACTCCAATTAGGGGACCAGTCTGTTGAACAAAGGGACTCCATTCTTGGCCTGAGGCCCTATTCCTTTCCCACCTAAGCCATCACCATCCAGGTCGCTCAGGTGCAGAACTCCACCAAATCGAGAGAAGCGGCGGTCCCCACTGAAGGTGGTGAGCAGAGCAGGCTGTGCGTTGAGGGTCAGTTCGTACATCCGAGTGGTCCCACCTTGGTGCAAGGTCATGGTCAGGAATGCCATTTTGGACACCTCATCTGAAAAGAACCAGGGCACCCCATCATCTGCCATTGCAGGAATGAAGAGAAGACATAAGGCACTGAATCCCACAGGACACGTGGTTGTAGCACTGACCAGCTCTGGGTGTCAGGAAGGTATAGCTGGCTTGGGCACAGAGACTCAAACGTGGGGCAAGTTCAGTGATACCCCATCAGACAGGCCTGACCCCTTCAGTAGTCACATAACCATCTTTACACTGCAACCTGCCAGTGTCAACACTCCTGACAGAGCTTCCCATCAAGTCTACATTCTTCACAGCACCTTCCAGAATCTGAATGCTACTTGGGTTCTAGCAGTGTGAGCCTCTTCCCCCCGACACGCACCCCTTAAATGTGCTGCGCATGCTGTGCCATCTCCCTGGAATAGGCCCTGCCTCCCCACACCCACAGCAGGCTCAGTGCCAAGTGGGGGGGCCAGGACCTTGTCACATGCTATGCATACTACGTTGTCTGGTTCAGCACAAGTGTTGGGTAAATATTTTTTAAATGAAATGAATTTTGAACTTTTAAAGGTAGGAAGTCATTTGGAACAGTCTTGATTTCAGAAATAAGGACTGTCTCAGAAAAACCTAATAGCATCTGCGGCTCGGGGGTGGGGTCTGGAGAGGCCAACCACAAGTCCGGCCCTGTGCCAGCCAATGGGGCCAGTCCCAAGGCAGGGTCTCCTCTGTGTTGTGTGCAAAACTGACATTACTGATGTGACTGCTTTCTTGGGCAGCCTTCCCTTGTGCCTTTGTTTATAGCCAACTGTCCACTAGAAACGAGAGCTCAAAGGAGCCTGCAATCACAGTCAGAAATAATGGGGAGGGAAGGAAAGAAGAACAGCACTTCAGAAAGCTCGGCTGTCTGGGATTCTTGAACACAAGAGTGAGCAACCGGACTGAAAACAACATTCCCAAGAGAACAGTCTTTACTAAAGTATGATTGCTCATCATATTCAGGGTGAAAGTCCAAAGTCTGAAGAAATAGTGAAAGAAAAAATTCTCATTCCCTTCTCATGTTTCCTAAGGGACTTGAGCTCCCCAGAATATAGAATATAGAAATCCTGGGAGCTCCCTGCTTCTCGCTCCGCCTGCCTGCTGGAGGGGCCCAGAGTGCTGCTGTTTTGTGTGGGTGTACACGTGGACCACAGCTAGTTTGCCTTCTGCATGCAGGGCTGAGTCCACATCGCTGGCTGCTGCTGCTGGGCCCCAAGGCACGTGCATCTGCCATACAGACCCACTGTCTCAGGGAAGTCACCCCAAGGTCGCTTTGCAGGCCCCATCCAGACTGGGTTCTCCAGGCTTGTTTTTAGAAGGTACATTCTTTTATACGAGGGCTTCATGGGTCTGCTGCTCAAATGGCTCCAAGTGCACAAGGGTGGGAGGAGGGGGAGGAGTTGTGATGATCACTTCCAAAACTCTTCATTTTTATCATAATCTATTACAATGCATAATTTAGAATAATTTCATCAAGTTTCTTTAAATTTTAAATTCTCCAAATTTAAAATATTTAAAAATAAATCAGTTACTGGGATGCCTGAGTGTCTCAGTGGTTGAGCGTCTACCTCTGGCTCAGGGCGGATCCCGGGGTCCAGGATCAAGTTCCACATCGGGGTCCTTGCAGGGAGCCTGCTTCTCTATGTGTCTGCCTCTCCATCTCTCATGAATAAATAAATAAAATCTTAAAAATCAGTTACCAAGTCATGAAGACATGGAGGAATCTTAATGCATAGTATGCATAATGCTTAAAGAAGCTTATCTGAAAAGGCTGCAGACTGGGGGGTTCCAACCGTATGCCACTCTAGAGACGGCAAGCTAGGGAGATGTAAAAAGATCACTGGCTGCCAGGGTCTAGGAGGGAGGGAGGGATGGACGAAGGGATGAGCACAGAGGATTTGAAGGCCAGCAAAACTGCTCTGTATATAATAATGTAATGGTGGATACAGGTCTTTCCACGTTTGTCCAAACCCATGGAATGTTCAACACAAAAAGTGAATTTTAATGTTAAATTCTATAGCCTTAATTACAATGGTGTGTCAGTGTAGGTTCTTGAATTATAGCAAATGCACAGTCTCTGGTGCAGAAGGTCCATAGCAGGGGAGGCAGTTGTATGGGTGGAGGTAGGGGATCTACAGGAAACCTCTATACTTTCCACTCAATTTTGTTGTAAACCTAAAACTGCTCTTAAAAATAAGTCTATAAAAAAGGGATTCAGATACTTTAAATCTTTGGCCATTCGAAACACCTCATTTCTGACAGATGATAACGACTTACGGGGATCATTTCATGATGTATAAAAATATTGAGTCATGGTGACCTACACCTGAAACTGATACTTTTCAATAAAAAAATTTTAATATACCTCATTTCCCTGTTGAGGCAAATCAGGGCTTACCATACACATTTAAGACAAGAGAAAAAAACCCCAAGGTTATGCCTTAGTATTTCTCTCTAAAGTAATTCAACAGACCCTTGGTTTTTAAAAGGGTATGGGGGAGGTTTTCTTTACACCCACAAGTGTTTTTAGGATTTCTCAAGTTCACTTACCGTGACAGCAGAAAACAGCTGGTGTAAAGCACAGATGATCCCACTGGCTGGGCTCCCTCCCAAGCCACGGGGAAGGGGACACCACCTTGCGGCATGGCTTCACTTGTAACTGATAAACTATGGATCACATTATTTTGTATCACTGACTTTTAGGATTACCACAAAATAGTCAAAACTTTGAGTGTCAAACTTGTGAATGCCAAGATTTTTTACATTATCATTATAAAAGGTGTGGAAAGTGCTCCCCAAAAAAGTATAAAGAAGTTCTATAGCATATATTTCTTTGTGGAGCTTGATAACCATATATGTATTAAACAAAATGGAGATTGTTGGGGGTTAAAAATCGTATACGTTTTACATTTTGGCCATCTCTAACTTTTTACTATTATAATTGACACTACGATAAATATCTTTCCCTGCAGTTCTGAATACTTTCTGAGAGCAGATTCTTAGAAGTGGTCCATAGAACTCCAAGGGAACGAGTATCTTTAATGCTCTTGCCATTTTGCCAAACATTTCTGAAAGGGCAGTATCATTTTACATCTCACCAGCTCTGTAGGAGTGCCCACCTCATCTCAACTTTGACATTTTTGAGTGTTACCATTTTCATACTGAAAATGCTTCATTGTTATTCATAAGTACCCGGTAAAATCCCCACTCAACATTTAAGTTGTTCATTCTGTGCAGTGGCCACATTCTGAACCAAAGACTGCTGAGCCAGAGACAGAGCCCAGGAGGAGAGGGATGGATCTGAGAGAGTCAAGCTCCAGACCACTGCCCTCGGGGATCACCCTGAAAGTACATGGATTGTTCAAAGTTAGATGAATCTGTACCATAGAGCCGAGATGCCCAGACTACACTGAAGCACTTTGGTGAGCTCACGAGGATACTGCGGATATTCTGACCTTTTGAAGGTGACACAGTGACATTGTCTGCCCCCCACATGAACTACCTGTTGGAGGCAGCTCATGGTTTTTTTTTTAATTTTTATTTATTTATGATAGTCACAGAGAGAGAGAGAGAGAGAGAGAGGCAGAGACACAGGCAGAGGGAGAAGCAGGCTCCATGCACCGGGAGCCCGACGTGGGATTCGATCCCGGGTCTCCAGGATCGCGCCCTGGGCCAAAGGCAGGCGCCAAACCGCTGCGCCACCCAGGGATCCCTCATGGTTTTAACACTAGGTCCCTACAATCCTTTCAGTGACACATCTTTGCAAAACTAAACTAGGATTTTAGGGGTTGTTATAATAAAATGCAGGTACCATGTGGATTGAAAATGAAGATGATAGTGTCCAATCTGATTCCAGGCTTGAGAAGTTGTACAGTGCCCAAAGGAGCCAAGCTGTTAGGACACAGATTCAGCATATGTGTCACAGCCACATGGGGCCCCATGCTCAGCTTAATGCACTCCCATCACCAGCTTGAAATCCTGATTAATTTTGCAACAAGTGCTCTGCCTTTTATTTTATACCAAATTATGTGGGTAAAATACAAGTAAAAAACAGGAAAATTAATGAAGGGCTAATTTGTATATAATACAGATATGTAAACTAACCTTTTTATATTTTATACAGTATTTTGTAACAGGAAAATCCTAAGATGGTAAGAACATTAAAACAAAGTCTGGAAAGCTCTAATCACAGCACTCCAGTAGGAGCAGAAGTGAAGCAAATAAAATCACTTGTAGGTGTTGCAAGAGTTTGAAAATCACCACCTAATCTCTGTGAAAGGGTGGGAAAACCTCAATTACTCCAAATGTAAGTCAGCAAGTTTCCAGTGTTACAGTGCTTGTTACAGTGCTTCCGGTGTTTTTCATGCAATGAAAAAATCTAGCCATTCTTGGGTGGCTGCCTGGCTCAATCCGTAGAGCATGAACCTCTTGATCTAAGGCTCATGAGTTCAAGCCCCCTGTTGGACATGGAGCATAGTTTAAAAAAAAAAAAAGAAAAGGAATGAAAGAGAAAGAAAAACAATCTAGCTATTCATTTCCCAGTCCACTCTGCTTTTTTTTTTTTTTAAGTGATTTTTAAAAATTTTATCTATTTACTCATGAGAGACACAGAGAGAGAGGCAGAGACACAGGCAGAGGGACAAGCAGGCTCCATGCAGGGAGCCTGACGCGGACTCGATCCCAGGTCTCCAGGATCACGCCCTGGGCTGAAGGCGGCACTAAACCGCTGCGCCACTAGGGCTGCCCCCACTCTGCTTCTTTAATGTGTGAAACAACAATCTTCCTGAAAGATAATTTGACAATATGTAAGAAGAGCCTTACTATTAGACGTCTAGTCCCAGAATTCCACCTCTAGGAATCTGTTTTTAAAAACAGATCCAGAAAGGCAGGGTTTTCTGTACATGGATGTTTGATAGGTAAGACCTTAACAGTAGTGAAAACTTGAGAACATCCTAAATTTCCAGCAATAGGATAATATTAGTAAATTTGGGCATAAGCACATGGAAACAAATGTGATGAGTATCGAAAACCATATTCTAGAAGAATCTTAGTAACATGAGGACACACTTGGAATATAAAATTTTAAAACTAGGTGTGAAAATTTATATGTATATATTATGTATATTTTTATATTTTATGTATTTTATATACATATATATATAGTATGAGCTTAAGTTTTTAAATATCTGGATAAAGGGTGATTTCTAAATATTTCTTTGTATTTTCATAAGTTTATACAATAAACATGATTCACTCTGATCATCTTGGAGGGAGTAGGTTTTGTTGTTTTGTTTTTAAGATTTTATGTATTTATTGAGAGAGTAAGAACACAAGCAGAGGGAGAGGCAGAGGGAGAAGCAGACTCCCTGCTGTGCAGGGAGCCCAAGGATCCCAGGAACCTGGAATTGGACCTGAAAGCAGATGCTCAACCGACAGAGCCACCCAGGTGCCTGAAGGGAGTAGGTTTTTGTTGGCTTTTTAAAACTCTTTCCCATAAAGTAAATACAATAATGGTTTATTAACATAGGTCCTCAGAGCAGACCTAGTCCTGGTGAACTGATTTATAGAATTTTCTGAATTTCCCTCTTGCCCCAAGCTCAGTGGGACAGGAGCTTTAAAAACATACTAGGTTACTTTCATGCAGGATTTTCACAAACCCTTGAGGTAGATACTAATATCTGTATTTTGCAGATGGTGATACTAATGTTCATGGAAGTTAAGTAATTTCCCTAAGGTTAGCTGCATGCTATTAATGAGAAAAGGGAATATTCAGAATCAGGTGTGTCTGGCTCTAGATTTCACAACTTTTCCCCAATAGGACATAGTCAAGGAGCCACTTGACTGAAAAGCAGCCGAGCTTCATGGCACATGACCTACCATGAGTCGGGGCTCCAACGAGCAGCACTTGTTTCCGGGTCCCGTTCACCATCACATGGCCACTGGACAGGGAAGCCCCCAGCTTCCCCATCGTCTGTGAAATGCAATGAATCAATACCTCACAGCTCAGAAAACCCTCCATGGTGTCTGCTCTGCTGGGGAGGGAGCAGCAGCCATACCTTGTCTCCAGAAATGGTAAACCAGCTTCGGCAATTTGGGGGAAAATAGCCATATACCCGTCCAAGGCTCTGTTTCTCATCCTGAGCACGGAACAGATGGCCCAGACTGGAAGGAAGTATACACAACTGAGCTGCTGGGGCGAAGGATTAAGAGCTGGCCGAGTATTCAGGTCCAGGCGAAGGCAACCCTCCTCGTCCCCTCCCCTACCCCCCTCCCTGTGATCCCTGGCATGTGAGCGGGGTGGCTTGCAGAGTGAATTCGCAGTATGAAGACTCTCCAGATACGAGGCTCACTGACCTGCCTCCCCACTGAGAGCAGATAGTGGGATGCCTACTCACAGGCTGAATTGTATGCCTCCAAAATCCACATGTTGGAACCCTAACCCCAGAACCTCAGAATATGTATATTTGGAGATAGGGTCTTCAAAGAGGTGGGGCCCTAATCCAATAGGACTGGTGTCCTTATAGAAACAGAAGAACACCAGGGATATCGGCATACACAGAAGAGGCCATGTGTGGGCACAGGAAGAAGGTGGCGGCCTGCAAGCCGAGGAGAGAGGTCTCAAATCGACTGCCAGTACCTTGACCTTGGATTTCTGGTCTCCAGAACTGGGAGAAAGTTAATTCCTATGGCTTACGCTAGCTGGGCTGTGGGACTTTGTCACAGCAGCCCCAGCAAACTCTTGCACCTTTCTATCTCATTTTTAAACTTCTAAGGAGGAGCATTTGCAGCCTTACCCCAGAGCTGTAGCTTTTCCCTGCAGGGTAAGAACTCAGCCCCTCTGTGCGTTCCACCCCTCACAGGCTCCCACAGCTGCAGGCATCTGCTCCTTGTGCCCACTGGTTCCTGGGCCCCAATAGGGGCACTCACCTGCTGGAGTTCTTCCAGGTTGGGCTCCCCACCAACAGCAAAGTTCTGTTGTGCACGCTGACCCCGTGGAGGGAGTAGCCTAGCCAGGAGAAGTCCTCCTCACCGCGCACCATCCAGGGGGCCGCCTCCACGTTCAGCTTTTCTACGGACAAACGAATGCCTTTTACCTTACGTGGGAGGCTGCTGGAGGGGGGGTGGGCTGACTTACACACCCCAAGCTGTTCCAGGGCCCCAGTGTCAGAAATGGGTCCCACACCTCATATGAGAAGTAAATTGCTAGAGCTCAGGTCAGCAGAGTGAACCTGCAATGCAATATAAACAGAGCCCCCAGTGGGCGGTTTGGAACATCACTGGGATGCCTCCTGGGATCCTGTGCTTACAGGGAAAGCCTGTGCCAACAACCTATGGGCCCCCTTGGGTTCTGGACCTAGAAGTTGGACCCCTTTTTGTACATCCAGTGACTCCAGATCATTTGGATGAGTATTTTATCTAGATACAAGAGATACGAGATACTCTTATCTGCAAGAGTAAGAGCTCTTAGAAACTTTAAGTGAAATGATAATGGAATGTGGAAGAAAGGACGCAAACCCATAGGCATGAGGATGGACTAGAGAGCAGGGAGGTCCCCGCCCATCCCTCCTGCAAGCACTACCTTGGTTGCTCCAGCTGGGGGCAGAGTAAAACGCAGCCACCATTCCCTTCTGTTTCCCTCCACCTGGTGCAAAAGGGGAGCCCATCACCAGATCGGGCTCTCCATCTTCATTCACATCTGCGGCCAAGAGTGTCCAGCCCAAGTTACAGTAGGTGTCCTTTAGGGGAAACCGGGAGACCACGTCTTGGTCAGAGGCTGTTGGCAGGATGGGGCAAGGTGTGGCCTGCCAGCCCTGGCTCAGATGGTAACTGTACCTGGCAGGAGATGGTGACGTTGGGGCAAGCAGCCATTCCTCCTTGTTTGGAGCCGAAGTAGACGTACACCGCACCCTGGGCAAAAGGCAAGCCACGGGGTGGTCAGAAGGCCTGGGTGGCAACCCAAGAACCTCAACCACAGGATAGACGGGTGACAATGACATAAATCACCCGAGTCCCTACTGTCAGAAGCTCAGTGACAGTCAGAAACCGGGCCTGTGCATTTGCTGCTGGGCTTAACATGGTTTTTTAGTCTGTCACTTCCATCAGACTGTTGGAGACCCCAATGCTGAAACAGTCACTCTTACCCTTGCCCACCGTGCACACTTGTTCAGTGTGCTGGACAACTGGCCCGCCTGCCTTCCTTTGTGAGCCCAGCTTTGTTTCTGATGCCTCCATGAGGCCCTCCCTGACCCAGCCCATGACTCCTCCAAACACGACTGGTCGTGTGGCCACCGTCCATTTGCCTTGAGACACATGCCATCATTTGTGGTCACAAACCAGTTCCTAGCTTATAGCTTGCTGGTCTCCCTCCTCACTCATTATAGAAGCGTCTATGTTCCACCACGAGCCAAGGGCAGAGAAGACCGTGATAAATGAGACCACACTCTATCCTCCCGAAAAGCTGGCCAATGGGCAATGACACTGTGGCATGGAAGGTACTAGAGTAGAGGCAAAGGATGTGGAGTAGGACAGCAAGGTGTGGCTGGATGACAGCTCCTGCATAGGTGCCATATCAGGACCTTCCAGGTGGAGGGAACTGTCTGACCCACATCCTCAAGCGAGGGGGCCTGTGAGACTGAAGATGACAAACGGCTCACAGTGTAGAAGCAGAGAATGAGGAGGTAGGGAAGCTGAGCTCATGGCAGGTAGACAGTGATGAAGGGCCTTTGCCCTTTGGGGTCACATAGGGCAAAGAAGCTGGTGCCCAGCCGTGTACGGGGCCCACATAGACGAGAGCCTCCATTCCAGGACCCAGGATCTCAGTGAGGAACCAGGGGTTGGTGGATTCTGTGCATGAGAGAGAGGGTCTGGGGAGGTTACCACTCTGCTGTGATGACGGGGGGTGGGGGCCCCTGGAGTGGCTGGAATTTCCATCCCCCTAATTAGCATTCAGCATCTTGGTGGAGAGGGGAGAGTAAAATTTCTGGTGGAATTAGGAAAACTGGGAGGTCAAACAAAGGCCAGGGAGGCAGGAAGTAGGCACCGCCAGGTAACCAGGTCACGTCAAGGACCCTAGCCGGCGGGCCTGAGATAGTCTTCCTACAGATGCTGGCTCGGCCCAGGTGGCTGTCTGCTTTCTACAGAGGCTGCACCCTGCCCCGCCTCCCCCTCCCTGAGGTCCCCACTCCCCCACCGGCTGCAGCCGTACCGTGTAGGTGAGCTGCTCAGAGCCCACTGATGGCGCTCCCACGGCCAGGTCAGGCACGCCGTCCTGGTTGAAGTCCAACACAGCCACAGCCGAGCCGAACCGACCTGAGGACTAAAGAGGCACGTGTGACCCACCCCTGGCTGAGCCACAGCCTTCGGATGAGCACGCGATCCCCTGGGAGTACAGAGACCTGGACACCCGACCTGGAAGCCCAGGCCAAGGGACAAATCTGCTGCAACTGTGATAGACCTGCCACCCGCCCATGGGATGGCTCTGCCCCAAGGACCTTCTTGGCCTGTCAGCTTTGAGGGGAAGACGAGGTGCCAGAGAGAAACGGGTCCGTTTCCACAAGGTCTAGGGTTTTAGAAAATGGTCTAGTGTCCACTGTGCCCTGCAATAAGGGCCAGGCTCCCTTTGGAAAGGAACCAAAATAATGACCGCACACACCAGCAATGATAGCTAACATGTGATCAGCACTCAGGGGGTTCTAGAGCCACACTGTCCAGCGCGGTGGCCCCTGGCGACATGTGACTACTATAGTTACACTCGCGTTAAATAAACTAGAAACTCAGCCCCTCAGCGCCACTAGGTGCCTTGCAAATGCTCAGAAGCCAGGGCACTTAGTGGCCTTCCTCTCGGGTGGCACCGCTACAGAACACCTCTACCGGCACAGAAAGTTCTGTTGGACGGCACTGCCGGAGACGCCGCTCTGAGCACCTGACACGCAGGAGGGCAGGTGCTTTTATCGTCTCCACGTGCACGGTTTACAAGCGGAAAACCCGGTCCCATCGGGGACCATTTCCTTCCAAGATGGATTTTTCTCCATCTCACATCTCCCACTCTCTAGAATCAGCCCAGACCGAAAAGCAACACTTGCTTCCCCTACTGTTTCACAACATACAGAACAAGGAGTGCTCTTGCACAAGGGGAGGTTTGCCACATACGTGGGGCCCAGAACCTGCATCAATCACTGATTGGCCAATCGTGCTGCGCCTGCAAACAATGGCATCTGTGAAAACGGCTCCTTCGTACAGGGCGGGAAACTCGATAAACCAGAAAGGATTGCTCCAGGACACAGAGCACTTCAGGGCAGCCGGTGAGAGCGCCTGCCAGCTGCAGGCGACCCGTGTCTTCCCCACCAGGGGCACCATCAGGCCCTCCTGCGGGTACCCCCTCATCCCTCCACAAGCACTGAATCCTTGAGCAAACACTTGAGATGGCTCCTCCTAATCCTTCATCCTTGCAGCCGGGGGCACAGGGACAGGGAAACTGGGTAAGCAGCGTGTGGGAACTCCGTACAGCTTTTCTGTGGAACACACATTCTTACAAAACAAAAATTTACATATAAAAACAGGGAAGCTTAAAAGAAGGGGGGGGAATGTTTTGTAATATCAAGAAATCACACCCTGACTGGCTAATCAAAGCAGCTCCAAGTAAATGGTAGGTGTGCTTTTGGCAGGTATCTGACTAACCGTTCAGTTAACGACAGGATGAGATAAATGGAGTGAACAGGTTTTTCAAAATGAGAAGAGTTACAGGGACGTAGGCCACCAGCTGTTTGCCGCTCTCGTCATCCTTGTCACTGGCTATTCACTTGGAGAATCTGCCACGGACGATGTGCAGCAGCTTACAGACTCTAAAAGGGAAAATCAGGGACAGGTGCCTCACCTGGAAGCCCTCCAGGATCACGTGGGCCTCCTTGTCCAGATCCAGGTCGATGGGGGGCAGGCCCAGGTCATTGCCGTAGAGGAGGTATATGCGCCCAACTTGGACGTGGCCAGGGCGGCTGTAGCCCGGGGCACCCACCACCAGGTCGCCGTACCCGTCCTGGTTGAGGTCAGCCGAGGCCATTGCCCTGCAGGGGAGAAGAGAGGACCCCCCCCCCACGCTGCTCTCCTGTATCTGCTGAGCGCTCCGGGTGAGACAGTCTCCTGCTTCTTTCCTCCCCAGAACCCAACCCTCGAACTGCCCCCTGTAAATGTTTTTGCCCTGCCTGACAGCGGAGAATCTCTCTTCTGAGGTTGTGTCGTTTGTGTGACTCAGTCTTGCTCTCCAAGAAGCACAGCACTGGAGACGCGAAGGCCTCTGGGTATTTCTGAACCTTAGGACCCAAGCAGGTGTAAAGCATCTTCACAAAGCACCGCGTCTGGTATGCAGAACCCGGAGCAGCTAAGCGCGATCCCGGGCTCCCCCAGAACACAGAGGAAAGCTGCACCCGGCCAACGGCAGGGGCTGCGTCCGAGTGACCAGGTAACAAACAACTGAATGGGGCCTGAGACAAGCATGTGTTAAGTGTGTCCTGTTCTTTCTACCATAACTGCATAAGGTACCTCGTACTGTGAAGAAATTGAATGTTCAACATCTTTCGTAGATGAGTCTTTCTAAATGAGTCTATGGCCTACCAGTTATAGAGCAAAGGCTCGAATATCTGTTGGAGCAGCCAGAAGGACCGGAAATCACTTATTTCTTCTAGTTCTTATGGCCACATAAAGACTCAATGGCAGAACAGAGGAGAAAGAGAAGTCTCTGAAGGGGTTGATGCCAGGTGAGAGGGCCCTGGGGCCAGTCCCTGCACTCCTGGGGCTGGATGCCCAGGACGGACCTCTGTAGCACCCCTGGGGCCAGCAGGCCCCCCAGGAGGCCTTCTTTGGCCCTTTCAGGAAGGCAGCCAAGAAGAGCCATTATGCACAAGTGAACCACCAATAAACACAACATTCACCTCCTGCACCTGTGCTGGGGCTGAACGCGTCAGTGACCTAAGACAGAAGGGCTGTCAGCAAATTGTTGCAAGGGAAACAGTGTCATTTGGATTTAAGAAATGTGGTTGAAAAAAAACAACCCCCACCCCCAAAACCCTCAGGAAACAGTCTCCTTTCTATCCTTGGGCTTGGTTTTGGTTATTAAAATCAGAGGAATCCCCAACATTCTATTTATAAAATTACAGTGGTGTACTCGACTTTAGTCATAGGAAGGGATGATGTTCCACTCACTGTAAGAGCTCTGTTTATACGCTTCTAGTATCATTGGATTCCCAAAAGTCTGTAACATTCGGTCTTTAAGAACATCAAAGCTTTATGATTTTTCTACAACACCTCATCTTTGTAATTATTCAGTAAAGTGAAAGCTCCTTGTATTTTTTTTTTGCTCCTTGTATTTAAACACATTATGACCAATTTTGAGGAGATAGTTTCATCTTTACAATAACTTGACCACTAAATTAATGTTTTTGTTGATGATGAATTGATTGGAATACAAGGAGCAAAGAGGTGCCGTCTATACCATCTATTGAATGACTGAGTGGACTTCATACTGAAGGCAGCGGTTGGGTGTAGGAGAAATTGATACTTACCAACCAAGTCTTGCATAGGGAAAAGACAGGTAATAAGAGGCCAAAGGGTTGGAGACATGTTTCCATGACTGCTGAGCGCCTGTAAACATTGTCCGTATGTTCCTTTCCAAAGCCTGGTACATAAAAGTCAGGGAATCCTGGAAAAACAAAAATCATTGTAGGCAGATAAAAACACATGGCAAAATCAACAAAACTATTATTTCCTGTCAAAAGTATGAGACTTTCTAAAGGAAAATCATGTTGACAAGTGCTCAAGAATAAAGCATTGGTTCCTATCAATAAGTAAGATCACTTGGGATAAGCAATGAGGGCAGGGAAATCACAGTCCCCAATAAGCACCAAGGGGGGCAGATACAGCCCTAGAGTTCACACCAGCATGGCAAGAAAGAGTCAGCTAGACCTTAACCTGAACCAATGTCGAGAGAGTCTGAACTAACCTGCAGAACGTAACAAGATAAATGTAATGGATTAAACACCTTAAAAGTTTATTCAACCTAGATCTATGACTCTATTTGTGTTTATGGGTGTGTGTATGTATTTTCCCCCAAATGAACTGTAACAAAACCAGGATGCTAAAAATAGCCTCCAAAATCAAATGGAGGGGCTGCTGTATTTGCTTCAAGCATGAGAGTTCATCTGCAAAGCCTGGAACGAGGGGATGGTGAGCCCCCAGCCTGGGATGCTACCATGCCCCGAAGAACCTGGCCCCATACTAGATGCCTCCATGTCCAAGGGATACAACTCTAAATCCACCCAAGGGCCACAGGAGACCACACAGGAACTCCAGGGGCTGCCTGGAGCGGAATCGGCTCAGAGCGGTAGGCTCCCTGCAGCGCTCGGGCTCCAGGGAAGAGCAGGCGAAGGGCCCTGCAGGAAGGGGCTGTGCCTTTTCCCCTCTCACCCCTCTGGCAGGCAGGCTGCCCATGGACGCTCATCCAAATGCCCAGCTCCACCTTGTTTGTTCATCCAGGGAGCACCTAATCAGCTCCGAGAGGGGTGCCAGGCACCAGGACGAGTTGTGGGAATAGAAAGCCCCTCCCCTCCAGGACTCACCCTTTTGTAAAGGAAACAGGTCCAAGAAACTATAGGACAAAATGGTAAGTCTGTGATAGAGGGTCCCATGACATAATGCACAGAGCCCACGCAAAGTGAAATCACAGAGCCCCTGGTTCAAAAGTTATTACGAATTTTTTTTAAGATTTTATTCATTTGAGAGAAAGCACGTTCGAAAACAGAGGGAGAAAGGGTCTGAAGCAGACTCACTGAGCAGGGAGCCCAAATCGGGGCTTGATCCCACAAAACCAGACCATGACCTGAGCCCAAACCAAGACTCAGAGGCTCAATGGACTGAGGCACCCAGGCACCCCTAAGTTATTAAGCATTGTAAGGCAGTGAGAGCAGAGCACTAATCCAAGTGTGGGGCCCTTCTCAGGGCATCCATGGCCCCGCTCTGGGTGATAGCACAGGTTGCACACCCACAACGCAGGCCTGCCCAGGCCCAGGCCCAGGCCCAGCCCCCACAGGCACCAGTTACACAATGTCTTTATGAACCCACTTCTGGATGTTAAGAGCCCTTCACAATCCAACACCTGCTTCCCTTCCCAATCCTCTCCTCACACCTTGTATCCCTTGTCTTGTTTTCCAGGCAAACTCTTATCTCCAAATATCCCCAAACATTCCCAAGAAATATATTCTCACTGTTGAAATACTATCTGCTAGTCAAGACCAAACCCAAAGACCACCTTTGCCATGAAGCCTTATCTGATTCACAGTGGAGATATAAGTTTCATCTTAAAAAGTATTCCCCACCCACATGTTTCTTGTTGCATTCTACTTACGTATGATTATTTATTGATCACCCCAGTTAGACAAATTTTCTAAAGATGAGAGTCTCTTTCCCTGTCATCTTATACTCCCTAGTCAAGTGTCTGACACTTAAAAGGTGATCTCCCGGATGCATTTCATACACAGTGAACCCCTGCCAGGGGCTCCTGTGCAGTGAGCCTACAGTACCGCTGACACAGTTTTCCCAAGGATGAAGCAGGACTGGCCTGGGTGCCAGGGCCACCTCAGGCTTCACTGGACTTGCCAAAGGCCACAGAGATCCAGACCCACACCCCAGAACATCTCTGGAAAAAAAACAGATTTGGAGGCCAAAGATATTTGTAGCCTGGCACATGGGCAGGCGACTCTCAGCGAGGGATTAAACACCAGTGAGTCCACAGGACAACATCGCGGGGGCAGCAGGTTCCTCTTCCCCAACCCAAGCAAAATTTCTTACCGAGGTCCAGGAATCCACACTAAAGGACACACCTCTTTGGGTATATTTTATATTTTTCCCAACATCTTTAGTTAGGTATGCAGTCAAGTTCCTATGGAAATCATTTTTCTGTACTCTAGAGCTGTGAGAAAGGGAGAACAAACAAAATGAGTGAACGACAGGCCCCTGAATAATGGCGTTGAAGAATATACCAAGTTGATCACAGGTTGGAGACCATAAAGTTCTAATATCTGGAAGCTGAAGGAGAAAAACCTTCATCAGACATTCCACAGAATTTTAGTGAACATGTTTCCAAGGCTTAAAAGCCAAGCCTGTCCTTATCAAAAATACTTCCCAGAGCCTCAAAGTCCTATAGCATAAAAGGTGTGAATTTCTTCCAGATTACTAAAAAGTATCAAAGGTGTTTTAGTATTTCACACACGTGGTCAAGAAACAGTCTGTAGCTATTTGGGAAACTGTGTGTGGGCACACGGATTTATCTTCAAAGACATGCGAGAATGAATCATACAATGAAGTATATTTTCAAATTCTTGCATTCCAAAGAGACTACAAGCCTGATGCCTAGAGGAGCCACACAGGCTTCAGAAGTGATGGAAATGGAACCCTACAGAAAAGGAATGAACAAAGGGGCCCATGTAAACTGCCGTCAGTATAGGGACTCTGACAATCTAGACACTGCACGCCCCATCTAAAGGCATAGAAAGAAAAAAGAAAAGAAAAGAAAAGAAAAGAGGGAGGGAGGGAGGGAAGGGAAGAAGGAGAGAAAAAGAGAAAGAAAGAGAAAAAGAAACAGAGGGAAAGGAAGAAAGAAAGAGAAAGATTTGGGATTTATAGAGAAACAGATGTTCAAATTCCATCTGCCATTTACAGCCATGTGATTTTAAACAAGTTGAAAGAAAGCAAAGCAAAACAAAAAGACAATTTAAATAAATCAGACTGCAGGGGCTTACCTGAATCTTCCTGTTCCTCCACGCTCCACGCTCCCTCTTTATTACCTTAGGACCCTTCACTGCTCTGCCCTGTTTGAGTATCTAACCCTTGCTCACACAAACTATCTCAGCTGAAACACTACTTCTTCACCAAGAGCCCTCATATGACAGGATTGGGACGCTCTGGGGTGCATCCCTTTCCCTCCTAACACTTGAGAGTAGTTATGGGTTCGGTTCTGGGTCCATGCGCCTGCCAAATGCACGCCCCAGGAGAGCAGAAACACTCTCTGTCCCACGCATAGTGAGGCCTTAGCACCCAAACCCACTCCTGGCAGCTAGGGATGAGGAAATATTGCTTTATTAGTGTTTATAATATTAACACAGCTTTTAAGTGCATGTGGTTGGGAATACATACCACCTCTCAGAATACAAATCAGGACCACTGGCCTTCTTCCTCAGAAACTCCCTGGAAATCTCACCCTGTCTCATCCATAAATGACTTTTTCAGGGTGAAATCTGGGAAAAGGTTATGAGTGATAATAAGGAAAGTAAGAATATTATTAACTGCCATTTTTATTGTTTATTGAACAACTTAACTGATATGACCTAGTTGCATTAAACTTAACTTTACCTCCATTCTTGCACACCCCCCAGACCATGATTTTGGGAATATGCACATGTGATTTTTCTATTTTGTCAAAGGAGGAAGCTATACCTCAAAAAAAAAAAAAAACATTAAGTGATTGAAAATCACATGGCTGTAAATGGCAGAACTGGAATTTGAACCTCCGTCTATACATCTCATGCCTTCAGTGTCTACTGAGCATCTCTCTGGGCAAGATTTTTTTTTTAATATTTTATTAATTTATGGGGAGGGTGCTGGAGGAGCAGAAGGCGGAGAGAGAGGCAGACCACACTGAGTATAGGGCCCAACACGAGACTCGACCTCAGGACCCCAAGATCATGACCTGAGCCAAAACCACAAGTCAGAAGCTTCACTGACTGAGCCCCCAGGCACCCCAAGATCATCTCTATGAATATTTTTGGAATCCACTTACCCCTGGGTGCTTGTTTTTTGGCCGCCACATGCAATGAACAGAGGGTTCTCGGGCAGGTTGCAGTCACTGGGGAAATAGTCAAAGGAATCAGGCATGTACCCACCTCCTTTTCAAGCATGAATGTTACTGACAATAGTTGGTGCACTTCACACTGCCTCCTGCAGAGGGGTGCAGGGTGTTCATCAAGGAACCTGACACAACTCGGAAGAAAACATGGTCCTACTTGACAGGGCAGGTGAGTTGAGTGCAGGCAGCACTACGGTAACACAGCCCCACGCTCCAGTCACCCCGACTCACAACCCGCCCCCCGGCCCCACTCCACCTGCTGAGCAACCCCACACTAACACGAACTGTCCAGGAGTTCAAGATGGAAAAAAACAGATTCCCAACTGCACCCCCTCTCTGCCAATGATGCCCATTTCTGCTCCAATAGGTCTTACTTTCTCAATCTCATTTCTTTAAAAACAAAGATCTGTAAACAGACAAGGCCACCGAGAGAATGGAAGAAGTGAATTTTCCCTGGACTCTGAAAGGAAGCGCTCAGTGCGGGGCGCAGAGTATGACATTAGAAGAGTCTGCTCTGGAGGAAGATCTGACGGGGTCAGTAGGGAGCCTTCCCTAAGGCCAGGAGTCAGAAAGCAAGGTGGGGAGAAGCTGAAGGCAAACTTCTAGCAAAATCTTTCTGAGGGCCAGCTTTAAGCTTAGGAAAAGATTCCTCCTCAAGGTCCCACCAGGATTCGGATGGGAATTCCTCAAATGCCACAACCAGGATCCAGACAGCAGCCTTCCAACAGAGGCACTACAGTTATCAATAGTTTTTTAATTACGTAGAGCTCTGGCTGGGAATGTAACCACCATTTTCTCACTGTTTCTTTAAAAAGATACACTCAAAGCTTCAAGCAACAAATGTGCTTTGGAAGATAATTCTCAGCTAAAAAAATGCTTATAATATGGAAATGTGTACATGTTTCCTTCACTCATGAATTTGTATCCTCTTTCCTGGGAGCCTTCTCTAAATTTCCCATAAAGCTCCATGAATTTTTTTTTTAAAGATTTTATTTATTTATTCATGAGAGACAGAAAGAGAGAGAGGGGCAGAGACAGGCGAGGGAGAAGCAGGCTCCCTGAAGGGAACCTGATGTGGGACTCAGTCCTGGGTCTCCAGGATCACACCCTGGGCCGAAGGCAGCGCTAAGCCGCTGAGCCACCCGGGCTGCCAAAAGCTCCATAAATTCTGATGAATCTCCCTTTGTCTATGTGTGTAAAGTGCCATCAATCTATGTACTTTTCTGCCTTGACAAGTTAGAATATCAAGAGACAAATCTATTTCTTCTCAAATAGTTCTCCTAATGGAAGAATAAAGTCTAGCCGTCTGAGCTGTTTGGACAACGTAACCAAACAAACACCACAGCTGTTCTCCACTTAAGGACCATTACACATGGATTTTATAAAACAAATAAAGGCAGGTCATTCACACTCACATGACCAATATAAACTTAACTTCCTTCCAATAAAAAATATAATACTAGTAGCCAACATGTATTAAGTGCTTCCTACATGCTAAATCATTTACAGAGTGACCTCACATGCTCCTCCCAACATCCCCATGATAAAGAGAGAATTATTATTCACCCCATTTCACAGATGAGAAAACAAAGCTTAGGGAGGTTTAGCTACTTGCTTGGGATAACTCAGCAGTGAGAGGAAGGTCTTGCAAATTCCAAAGCCCATCCTCTATCATTGTGTGCATCTAAAAACACACAGCCACAGAAGGAGAGCCTGGAGCGTTCATAGGAGGCTTGTTTCATTATTTTAAAAAATAGTAGTTATATCGGATTATTTATGTTACTGTTTACCAACTGTTTAAAACAGGTTTAATATTTACAGCCTAATGTCAAATTTATCATGCAAGGGAATTTTGTTTCAAATCACAATGTATAATTATGGTCAACATTCTTTGAATACTAGCAAATGCTTTTAAGGGCAAAAGAACATCATCCAGCATAGAATATCCTAAAGTTACAAGTATTCAGGCCCCTCCAATTTAGAACATCTGCCCAACGCTCCTCAGCCTGGAACAACTAACTGCCTGGTGCAGACTCAGCTCTAGAACCATCTTTCCCACTGCATGGCTGCTGCTTGAGCTTCACACCCTGCCCTTTCCTGCATGGGGTGCTCCCTCCACTGCTCCCTCTCCAGACCCCCACCCCACCCCACTTGGTTTGGCAGCCTGGGAGGGCTGCACACACAGTGGACTGGTTGTAAGCTGGATCTGAGAGGATCCTTAGCTCTCTCCTACAGCAGGGAGACTGTGAGCCTACAGGTCTATTGCAGCTGGAAGTAGGGTACTGCAGTCTACCCTGGTCTACATGCCCTGGTTCATGTCTCTGGCTAACACTCATCCTGGACATGCAGGGCAGGAGCAGAAAAGGAGCTGGAACCCAGACACCATTCTATATGGGCTGAATGTTAGACTCCACCAGAAGACTGTGATTTACAAATCCATCCATTTCTGATTTTACTTGGGTCAGTGAAGTGCTCTTTGAAACCCTTTGAACCTGAGATGGCAGCAGGGGGAGAGGAGGCTCACTGAGCCAGGCTGCTAGAGCCTGTTCACAGCACCAGTCCTCCCTGAAGAAGAGACACAGCCACAGTTCAAGATCCCCCTCCTCTCTGTCCCTAAAACAGGAGACAGCAGCACATGTCACCAGATGGGAGTGCATCTGGGTTCTGACATGACCATTTCCATTCTTCTCCTCCTTAGTTAGGACAGGCTAGCACTTCTTGAGACCTTTGCATTTGCTCAGTTGGAAATGTGAGAGCAGCACCAGGGAAGGGAGGGAAGAGGCAGAAGTGGCTGGTCGAGGAGGGACGGCAGTATCTCACCTGGTCCCATTCTCCAACATGAAGCTCATCAGACGGTAGATGTTAGTGGACCAAAACGCCATGTCATCCAGTCCCCCCAGGAAATATTCTTGGAATTGTTCCACCAAAAATGGGGACTTTCTGGAGAAAGTGGGATAAAGCTATGGCACAGAAAAAGAAACCTTATCAATAGGTGCTCTTTCTGGTATCTTTATAATCCTTTAAAATTTTGAAGAATAAAACCCTTACCTTGGAAATAGCTAACATCTCACCATACCTGCAACATGAACAAAATTTTTGCCTGTTGAGTTTGATTTGTACAAAGAAGTGAAGCAAATAAAGAAGCTCCATCAACATCTATCTACTCTCATGCAACTGCTTTCAAATAAGCAAAAATCCAGAAATCCAAACTCCAACTCAGGAAACTGAAATATCAAAAAGTGCGCTAAGGAAATTCACATGAAAATCAGCAAAAATTCTCCTCTGGGTCACACCTACATTTCCAAGAATTGAAGGTATGAACAGTCAACAATTGCACTTTTGGTGATGACTTCTCGGCCATAGAGTTTCTTGTAAATTCCCAGCAGATCTTCAATGGGCACATACCTGAGAAAAGCATTGGAATAAAATAAGATTCTGAAATTAAAGAGGATTTAGGCATGATTATTATATGCCAGGGCTTTCGGTGAACTATTTATTTAATCCTACCTACAAGCCCAGGTACCCACTGGACATAAGAGGACACTAAAGCACAGAAAAGTGAATTGACTTCCCTAAAGTTGCAGAGCAAACTTAATTCAGTATTTATGAAGGTACATTTGAAGACAGAAAACTAACTATAAAGTATGAAAAGGAAGTTTAGTCTTGTGAATTCACAGTTTAAGAAGCAAGATATTTTTATTTTTTGGAGCACTGAATTATTCTCAAATGTTATTACTATTATTTTTTGAGAAAGAGAGAGAGAGCAAGGAGGGGAGGAAGAGAGGGGGAGAGAGAGGGTTTTAGGAAGGCCCCATGCCCAGTGTGGAGCCAACACAGGGCTGAGATCAGGACTTGAGCCAAAATCAAGAATCAGATGCTTAACTGACTGAGCCATCCAGGTGCCCCAAAAGTTATTATTTTTAAAAATATCAAAAATGGCTCCTCACCCCAACATCCTGGTTTTAGAATACACAGTGTAAAATGAAAAAGAGAATTCCAAGTCAGACTTTTGGTTGACAGCTACTCATTATTTCAGTTGGAAGAAGAGTAGCATACATGAGATTAATGCTGAACCATCTTCCATCTGGATTTCTGAAGCCTTTGACTATACTGGACAGAAACCACAACCAAATAAAATGTGATTATAGTATATGTATAAGAAAGAATCTATGGAGATATCCGCTTTTTAATTTACAAGAGCACCAGAGTGGTCCTCCCAATAAAAATAGCTCTAGGCTGGACAAAATAACAAAAATATTTTTTTAGATGAATCATAGTGCTAGCAAGGAAGTGAAAAATTTCCAAAGGCAGCACAAATTGAAACTGGAAACTTTAAGAGGTAAGAGCAGAAGCCAGCCTTTGCCCTGAGCACTTGGAGATTTTTCCGATGGCTGCGTTGTATGCAGGAGATGTGGGCTGAAGTGGAGGAACTAGCCAAAGCAGCCCATCTCAGAGGAGACTCCACTAAAGGCTATACCCTATGCATGAGTATTAGGTAGAAACAAACCCAACCTATTAAAAAGAACAACAAAGAAATTGGTCTTCATCTTGACAATAGATAGAGAAGGGCAAAATATCTCTCCCACTAAAATTGGTAATTACTGCCAGTCCCACAAATGGTCTGTCTGCATTCATCCCATCTCTGTAATCAAGAAAACTTCAAGGGCTGAATGTAATTCAATGTGGTCTTAGATTAATGTGCCTCAAGGCAGCCTTCAGAAATCCAGACAAACCCTCACTGGAGATGCAACTCTATGTCCAGCCATGAGTAATTAGAGAACTGTGGGACATAACCAAGTAAGCCAGCATGACTACAGTAAGAGTTGCTAAGTAGACTTGAAGGCAGTAAGCATTCATTAGAGATGAGAAGGGTCAGTATATCATGACGAAAGGTTCAACTCACCAGAAAGACATAATATTTTTACACTGGAAGGTACCTGCCAACATATCTTCAAAACAATAAACACCAATTTGACAGAACTTCAAGGAGAAATGGAAAAAATATCCACCATTGATGAGGGAAATTTTTTAACAAGGTTTTTCTCTCAGTAGTTATTAGATTGACCTAATATAAAATAAAAAGGCTATTTTATTTATAATTTTAACAGTAAATTTAATAAGCTTACACTAATAAGCATATATGTAACATTAGGTAAAAAATTGGAGAACATTCTTTTCAAACACAGATGGGATATTTACAAGAGTTGATTATATGCTGGACCTTAAATCAAGGCTCAACAGGAGACTCCTGGCAAAGATGGCAGAGTAGGAGGACCCTAGATTGATCTCATCTCACAGATATAACTAAACAACCATCACATCAATGCAAACGACCCAGAAAACAACCCAAAGAATGGCAGAAGAGTGGTGCCTGGTTGGCTCAGTTGGAAGAGCAAGCAACTTTTGATCTCAGGGTTGTGAGTTTAAGCCCCATGTTGGAGATAGAGATTACTAAAATTAATTAAGTAATTAATTAAAACAACAACAACAAAGACTGGGAGAAGAAACCCCACAACTAAATGTAGTGAAGAGTCCACATCGAGGAGAGTAGAAAGTGCAGAGATGTAGTGGGGGTGCTAAACCCCACAGGTCTGGCCACCAGAGGGAGGAAGACATGGTTTTGGGGTGGGGTAAGAAGCAGATCATCACACTGGGGAGCCTTCAAGAGTGAGCTATAGCTCCATAACATTTGGTTTTGAAAATGAGAGCAGCTGAATTTTCTGAGTGCTAGCCTGTGGAACATAAAGACTGGAACTTAAAAAAAAAAAAAATCAGTGGGCGTGGCTTTAGAAGAGCCCAGAGGGTGACAAGAAGCTGAGTCTCTGCCCTTAGAGAGATAGCATGACAAACAGTCTGCAGAGATAGAACACAGAAGCAGTAATTTAAAAAGTGTAGAGGAAAAAAAGTAGGGGGCATAAAGAGGGAGAGTGAGTTACTAATCTCAGAGTTCACTGAGGGACTTTTCCAGGAACAGAGAACTGGCAGGCACCATTTCCCTCTCCCACTCACCAGCATAAACAAATGTGGGAACCAGCATAGCACCTGATTTTACTACCCAACTTGCATACACCACACTCCACCCCCTCCAGCAGGGCCCATCTTAATCCCAGTGCTGCAGATCCCCTCCCCCAGAACACAGGTACAAACTTTGCCAACACTGTGTCTCTCAACCTCCCAGAGAGGACTTGTGCACCTTGCTAAAACTGTCCCCTCTGCCCTTGTGTACTGTGCAGAGCAGCCTCAGTTTCTCCACAGCAGCTGTGCATCCCCTGTGGAAGAGGCCTGGGGTACACAGCTTGAAGCAGTACACCACTGCCTTCATGAGTCATGGAGCAGCCCCAGCGAGCCCCGGTCTTTGGGGCTGCAGGTCCCCCGTGGAAGAGGACCCACACCATCATCTTAAAAGTGCATACCTCAAAAATAAATAAATAAATAAATAAATAAATAAATAAATAAATAAATAAATAAATAAATTGCATACCTCTGCCTACTACTTTTAAGAGCAAGAGATGCAGCTGACCTTCCTAACAGAAAAACAGAGAGGAGACAGAAGAATATGTCCCAAAAGAAAGAACAGGACAAAAATCACAGTAAGAGACCTAAGCAAAACAGAGATAAATAATATGACCAGAAGGGAATTTAAAGTAATGATCATAAAGGTACTCCCTGGACTTGAGAAAATACTAGAAGACATTAGAAGATCCTGAACATGGAGGGGAAAAAACCCAATTGGAGAGGAAGACCACAATAATCCAAAGTAAAAATACACTTGATAGAATAAATAGCAAGCTAGAGGAAGCAGAAAAACAAATTAATGACCTGGAAGACAGAGTAATGGAAATTAACCAAGCTGAGCAGGTGAGAGAGAAAGAATTATGCAAAACAAGAATAGACTTAGGGAACTCAGTGGCTCCATGAAGCATAATGACATTCACATTATAGGGATCCCAGTAGAAGAGAGAGAAGGGGGCGGGGAGTAGAAAATTTATTTGAAGAAATAATAGCTAATATCTTCCCTAATGTGGGGAAGGAAACAGATATTGACATGCAGGAGGCACAGTGATATCCTCCCAAAACTCAAGGTAATCCAAACCAAGACACATATTAATTAAAATGGCAAAAAGTCATGATAAAGAAATAATTTAAAAGCAGCAAGAGAAAAAAAAGACAATTACATAGAAGAAAAATGTAATTTTTCATAAGGCTACCAGCTAATTTTTCAGCAGAAACTGCAAGCAAGAAGACAGTGGCATGATATATTCAAAGTGCTAAATGGGTAAAATCTGCAGCCAAGAATATTCTATACTGCAAGGTTGTCATTCAGAATAGAAGGAAAGATAAAGAATTTCCAGGCAAACAAAAACTAAAAAGGTTCATGACCAATAAACCAGCCCTGAAGAAAAAAAGGAATCCTTGAGTGGAAAGGAGAGACCATAAGTGAGAGTATGAACAGTAGGAAACACAAAAGCAGTAGAAATTAGTATATCTGTAAAAATCAGTCAAAGGATTTGCAAAATAAAAGGATGTAAATTATGACACCATATCCCTAAAATGGGAGTGGAGGGAGTAAAGATGGTTTCAAATTAAACAATCATTGGCTTAATACAGACTGCTATATGCAGAAGATGTTATATATAAACCTAATGGTAACCACAAGTCAAAAACCACTAATACGTTTGCAAAAAATAAAGAGAAAAGAATCCAAGTATATTACAGAAATCCAACTAATCATGAGAAAAGAGAGCAAGAGAAGGATCAGAAAAAAAACTATAAAAAGCACCCCAAAATAAGTAACAAAATGGCACTAAATACATACCTATTACTAATTACCTGGAATGTAAATGGGCTAAAGGCTCCAATCAAAAGACATAGGGTGACAGAATGGATAAAAACAAAAAACAAAAAAACAAGACCCATCTACATGCTGCTTACAAGAGACTCCTCTCAGATAGAAAGATACCTGCAGACTAAAAGTGAGGAAATGGAGAAACATTTGTCATGCAAATGCAAGGCAAAAGCAAGTTAGGGTAGCATACTTATCCTGGACAAAATAGATAAAACAAACACTATAAAAAATAAAAATAATACAGTATAACAAGAGACAAAGAAAGGCCCTATGTAATCAAAAAGGTGACAATTCAACAAGAAGATATTGTAAATATCTTTGTAAATATTTATGCATTTAACATGGGAACACCCTAACATCTAAAGCATAAATTGTAAATATTTATGCATCTAACATGGGAATACCCTAACATCTAAAGCAGTTAATAACAAATGTAAAGGAAGTAACTGATAATACAATAATGGTAGGGGACTTTAACACCCCACTTACATCAATGGACAGACAATCCAAATAGAAAATCAAGAAAACATTGGCTTTAGGGACACTTGGGTGGCTCAGA